AATTTTGACCATAATTCAGTATTCTTGTGATATGAGGGCAGTTTTGAAAATGGGCAAATCCTGATAGATAAAGAAAACGGGTCCCTCATGTGCAAAAGCGTGACGCGCAACCGCGTTAATGTATAAGTGACCGCGATGTGAAACGAAGAAGCAGAAAGCTCAGGGGCCATAATCCTACAGTGACGAAGAGTTAAGGATTCAAATCAGGGCTAGTTTTTAGTCAATAGGAACATGATGACCCTGGCAGCTAGATGTTAAAGAACCTTCCATGCGTATCTGGTTTCTGCACATTCACCATTTCTGCCTAAGATTGCAAGCAAAATGTTTTCATACAAACCTGACCGCATTTTTCGACACCCTTCCAGTCATCAGGTTGATATTTTGCCCATGCAGTGTAATCCACTTTGGTTTCGTCTACCCATACCCACTCATCGTCGACTTTTCTTAGTCCAATCCACATGAATTCTGATCCCCTCTCTCCTTTGCCAGGATTCTTGTTCCTTTTGGATATTTCTGTAATTTAGCACTACTTACTATAAACCTGTTCAGCGATTGTAAAAAATGGAATGTTCAAGGTTTTCTCAAATATTCTTGGAATCGTGAAAGCATTGTTCTGTTCTCTAAGTTTACCAGATTCCCAGTTTGGAAAAGATCATTGGTCATCTTCATAAAGAGACATACGATAAATGAAATCGTTTTCTTCTTCGCTATGAATCGAAGCCAGTTGTGCTCCATATTTCTGGCAAAGCCGGATGGCTTCATTAAATTTCGCCTGCTCATCGAATCTCTGAAAAGCTCAGCCCTTGATTGTGATATGTAGGTTGATTTAGTCAAAAAGAAGTGCATAGGGAATATTTCATGCCGATTTCCACAATTTCGATCGCTACTCTTACCGTACCAACCTCTTACAGTACATCAAGGCTATGGAGCCTGAGGACGGAAGAATCACTGGCCCACTGTTCACAGATTGAGGCGGCTATGCTAATGCAAGCGCCAGTTCGAGTTCAAGGCGGTAGGGTCAACCGTCGCGCTCGACCAATTTTAAATTTTATCATCTTCTTCCTCACCAACCTCCCCCCCCCTCCTCCTCCTCCTTTTTCTGGGTGTGATCTCGATACGACCCCACACACCACCGCACGTTAGGTGGGTCACCCACAAATACGTTCTCACCATTCCACCACCATCTCCATCACATGACTGTTTCTATGGTAGATGTGAACGAGCGAGGGGGGGGGGGGTAACATAAACTTTAGAAAGCAGCAAAATGCTGTAAATTTCATCCAATGCCGTGCCACTTTTCGTGGAACCCCTTCCTTCAAAATTACGAATCCCTTCTATTTCCACAATTGGCGGTCCCCTGCCGCGCTCGGAAACTTGCCCGAAGTTACATTGCCTTATACGAAGCAGGGTCGGTCCTATCGTTGCTACTTTTCAAAAAGTTTTTACGACCCCCCTCCCTCATGAAATGTTTCATACGACCCCCTCTTTCAAAACAATTTTTACCCCAAAAATTACCACCGAAATCGCAAAAATTCCCTACCCTTCCATGTATTTCCACCCTATTTCAACTACTCCATTTTCTAGGGGGGGGGGGGACTCATCACATGCCACTTCTTACAAGCGAAGCAAGTACGACCCCCCTCTACAAACTCACCAAAATGTGACCCCGTTTGCTACTTGTAGCAACATAGGGTTGGCCCTGCTCAGAAGGCGATCTCATAACCTTAATCAATCAGCGAGGCCTTTTCAACTAATGCTTCAAGTCATTGCACCCCGCATCCACAATCAAGCACGCCCTCCCTCACGCACAGTTGCAATTGAGTATACGCAGTGCTACAGCGCAAGGACGGTTTCAACTAGCTTCATCGCTTTTCGGTGGCAGTGACATAATTGTACCGGCTATTTTCAATTTACAAATACAGTAAATAACAAAAATATGTGGTTTTTCAGTAACAGAAAACTAAGAACGGTCTCATAAGAATTTACTTTGTAACGGTATCCGGTTTTCTCGAAATATATCCATCCACTCTTATCTCTGTAGTACTTCGCCGTAACGCTTTCCAGGATCAGCGATAGGTAGATAAAAATTATGTATGTCCACATTGTAGCTTCTGAAAATCTCATGTGCAGGAAATATGGAAATTATTACACAATTTTTATGAACAAATCTGGGGTCTCATCCAGTAAGGGGGGCATAGCGATCTAGAGCATTTCAAACCATGGAAAGCACATTATTTTATTGTAGACGTTCAGGACTAAGCCCTAGAAGGGAAGGAGTCCCCGGATCCGTGAGCAATCTTGGCTTTCCCCGGGGGACTTCCTCCCCCTCCTGGGCTTAGTCCTGACCTGCTAACTAGGTGAATTTCACTTCTCGTAGACGTTAATGTCATCTAGTACAAGAATACATACATTACACAAAACACCTGAAGAAATAACATAGGAAAAAAGCTGATAGCAGCTCGTAACTTTAAAGACTCTTTGAGCCAATTGGCATTAGAGCAGACTGTGCACGACAGTCAAATGCCCCGCCCCTCTATACTGGATGGACCCCAAATCTGAGTCAAACGCAACGTTTCTATCGAGCGCATATATGATACTCAGGTTTGATACGAAGCTGCTTCATGCAGTGCGAATAATGATGGACGCGAAGATCACACCTTGGATGGGAGGGGGATTCGCTAGGCGGAACCTTTGAACGCTTGTCATCCACGACAATGGCTGCGTGATTTCATCCGGACGTACCCTCCTTCAAAAAGCGAGAAAGTGTCGGGTGCAGACCATGCACCACAAGTGACGACGGCCTTCACAAAATGTTAATGTTTTCTGCCAATGAAATGATTAGCCTGTTGCAGTTGTATTCTATCGATTGTCACTAATTACAACTATCATTTACCAGAAATCAGCTATCACTATGAACAACTTCTAACCAGATTTACTTGGAGGCCGTCGTCAGTTGTGGTGTTTGGTTCTGCACCCGACACTTTCTCGCTTTTTGAAGGGGACAGGTTACTGTTGATCTTGGCATCCTTCGCATGTGACCAAATAAACTTCCTTGCAACTAATAGATTTAACAGAATGGCCAGTTGCCTCGACCACATCTGTCATGGTACATCCCTAATGATATCGGCCAAGTTCATGAATCCGTGGGTGGACAAAAGATTACTGGGTTAGAGGACGCGACGTCTTGATATCGCACTTTCTGTACGATTCGCTCAACGACGTAGGTAATGCCAAACGTCTCCTCCCCAGGCTAATATGGCGCAAGAATTGTTTATTTACACCTGAATAATAGTATTTCCTAGTCTTTGCGATGTTCCGACCCACCTCTTCTGAAGGCCTGATCTGATTCTTTCTCTTTGTCGTGCTGAGATTTGTTATCACACTGACTTTCACGCCTTTATGACGAATGTGCCCTTCGACAACACAGTAGAATATCGTGACATCGTTTCCTTGTACCAACCCTTTCAGCGGAACAATCGAACCATTCAGAATGTGTGAAGAAACGACCAAGCCCGCTCCTGGGTAGACCGCGTGAAATGGATGCTGTGGCTCACACGAGCCTCAGATTTTAATTACTTCGTATGTCATGGGGGTTGCGATGACGAAGACGTGGCTATAGGTTTTTTTTTTTTTTTTTTTTTTTTTTTTTTTTTTTTTTTTTTTTTTTTTTTTTTTTTTTTTTTTTTTTTTTTTTTTTTTTTTTTTTTTTTTTTTTTTTTTTTTTTTTTTTTTTAAAAAACAATTAATTATACACAGATCTTCTTTCATTCGGTCCAAATAGACGATAACTAGCAGCGGTGCTATACTGTCAATCTCATGGCGAAGCCCCGATTCTGTGAATAGAGCATTCCATCAAATTGGGGGATGTGACATTTCAAAGAAGTCACTGACTGCGCAAACCTTTCTCCATCCGAATGCGTAAATATATATTTTGCTGATTGATGTTGTGGTAGAAGTTCGACACAGCGCGCAGCTTCATTACACTTCATTTTCATAAGCTTCCCTGTATAGGAAACCTTTTGTCTTCTATTATTATCTTAGGAGATCTCCATAGTCTGTTGCAGCGATCCAGGGCAGATTGCATGATGAGCAGCTATCGTGTGAAAGTAGGGCGGCGACGGGATTTGTAGACGAAACAGCCTAGCTCTTTACTTCTTCGCATGAAGATTGAATTGGTCTCACATGTTCTTTAATGTGACGTAATTCGTCAATTTTACAAAGCTTGGGCGTTCCGACCAATTCTACTTCGTTTCCACAACGCCAACATAGTACCATGGGTTAAAGCAACAGTTCAGGAACGGTTTCGCGGGAAAAAACCACCAATAATGAAGTTGTAGATGAAAACCAGACGATTAATGTATGAAAAACTGGAAAAAAACGTCGGGGAGGGTCTTAGACAGGTACTCTCCCTCTGCCGCTCAGCAATGGATAAAGACGCACGTTGGACGAGTTGTCTGAACGTGCCCGCTGTAAACGCGCTCCATTTTCAATCAATTTTCCCTGTGGTCCCAAAACGAGCACGATTGCCGACGCGTCCAATGACGGCCGGCAAGGGGGCGGGATTGGGGAAATCCCCAAGAACACCCATGTTTGAGGGACTTTCCACCCTGTTTTTGAGTTTCTGAGGTAAGTTCGTTTATTATTTCCACTGCATATGTTCTTCACTAGGGCTCGTGTATCCCTCAGTAGTAGTGGCATTGAAATTTTCGGACCCTCCCTGAACTGTTGCTTTTAATGTTGGCTATACTTACGACAGCTTCGAAAGGCTTGCATTGCGACAAGGAAATTGCGGTGCGCTGTTTATGAAAGCATTCATCTTTCGCACCGACAGATAGAAACGATGGAGCTCTAAGTTTAATGTCTTCACAGTAGCAGTGAGAATTATCCCATCCACTTCAGGCAGCGTCGCGCTTTTACTTAACTATTTGATTGCTCGAAGGCGCAGCCTCTTTGAGCATTGAAACTAGTGCAAGCCCTCTGCGTGAAAGTTTTAACCGGTCCGTCCGCCCTAGGGGTCGTGCCGGCTTGGTTGCACGGAATGCGTGGTTAAGACATAAAACGTTACGGAGTTGCAACCATCGCAACGCTCCCCACTCACCGCTGACCGATGTGAGACCATCTCGTAGGGCGTGCTCTTTCACACGATTGTTTTCTCTGGTCACGCTGTCTGTCCACATCATGTCCGACCTTTCTGGGAGTTTAATCTTCACTACATTTTTTCTATTCTTTGTGATATTTTACCTTGACACGGGGCTGCCTTTGAGGATCTGCTTCAGGGTATGTCGCTCATTCGTTGGTATAGCTGCGTTGTCAAGCCCTTGACAATCATCAGTACGTCATACACAGATCTCAAGGTGCTCACTGTTGAAAGAACAACCTTATCATGCTTTGCTTGCTTAAACTTTTACTGAATATTCGTGTGCGATGGAAGAGCGATATTCACAGCAAAAGTGAATTCCCGCGTTATTGTGAGGCATACTTCCCTCCGGTTAAACGGAGGGAAGAATCCCTCACAATAACACGCGGGAACTGAGGCCCTACATAAGGGTGGCCTTCCACCAGTGACTCTGAACTAAGAGCGGTCCGATCGTCTTCCTTCCTGGTCTCTTGGCTGGTCTCGAGGACCGGGCTGTGCTCACGGTATGTGGCCCACCTTTGGATTACCTGATGTCTTCTTGTTCTTGATCTCGAACTGTCATAGGTATGAGGCGTTTGGTCGGGTCGGTCATAATATTGTTGCCTTTCAGCTCTGAAGAAAGGCGATCCCCAAGGAAATCGGCCAATCAAGTCATCATGCGCCAACCTAGGTGAGAAAGTTCAAAGTTAATATTCAACAAAGTGCGCGTAAGCTTTAAGGAGGAAGGCAGAGATATGGTGTTCGAGAGGGGAAAAGCCTTCTTCAACATCTAAATCATCTCTGTATAAAAGTAAAAGAAGGCAGTCTCTAATGGAGCGAGACTTGGCGCCTTCACGGTGAAGAGTGCACCCGTAATAGCGTAGCAGGCAGGGTCAACCGTCACACTCGGCCTATTTTGAAATTTTAACAACGTCTTCCCGCTCGTATTGCTCGAACGGACGGTTAGCCCTGCTAGCATTGCCGTGCCTGTGATGATCGCTGTTTCCTGTTGGGTGAATGATAACTTTTCGGACATTTCATTGTGTTTCTCACATGTCGCCTTTCGTTTTGAAAGAGAACTCCACTTTGAACGGTCGAATCTTCATTTGCTAACTCGTCTATGTGATGCATTATCATTCTAAGCATGATGTTTGCCGGAATCGTGCCAACTATCGCGATAAACAACCCTGAACGAACTCAGTCCTCGTTCGCTGGCTCGTCCATGAGCGAATTTCTAGTTTGAATGTTTTGGGCTGTTCCTTGACTCTCTTTGGCCTGGGGGAAGGCATCGTTATGGCCGTACTCAGCCTAGGGCGCTAGGGTGAAGCAAAGAACTTTGGAAGGAAATGAATTCTGACTGCGCACACTCGTCTCAGTGTTACGAGGGTTTTCATCTGGGGGAGGGGGCGAGTGTTGTTGCTGATAACGATGTTCCCCTCAATTAACCAGCCCCTTTTCTCTACCGTTGCACCATTTGTCTACTCTCCTTCTCATGCCCACCTTTCATTGTCAAGCCTTGCGAGGTTTCTGATAGTGTAGACCTTTCCTTAAGAAAGGCGAAGACTTTGTGCAAAAGTAATTAGGCGGAACAACATGCTTTTCGCAAGGGACAACTGCTTTTCCCAAGCAACGCATCGAGCTAACGCTCGGTTTGGACTGACAGTAAGCCTTAGGGTGAGTCTGTGTACTTTGCAGAGCACAAGTCCTTGCGTCCTAGGTTTCTTGCCCTCCTTCAAGGCCTACATTAGTGATTACCATGACCCACAAAACCAAGTTGTCTCATCTAGCTAGTTTCACATCTAGGAATCTGAAACTCAGTAGACTTGAACGCCAGCTTGATATGTTTACAGTAAGCGGTAAGCCGAAATGGAGTGCTCCTGACAATGCCATTTTTGATCACTAGGCAGCCGACAGAGTCGTGGGCCGAAGACGACGAACAAGAAAGTTTGATCAACCCACCTATTGGTGTAGCTTATAGTATGAGTGA